GGCCGCTAGGAGTTTTGCCGGCGCGTGCTCTGCTCTCCTCACCAGTGCAAGTACTCCCTAAGGCTGGGATCGCTGGGGCTTGGAGCATCCGGATCCACCATCACCTGCGCGCAGCCAGCAGCCACTTGAGTAAGCAGTCTAGGAGCATGAGCTAGAGCGACGTACGGCGGGAAGCGGAGCCGGATCGGTCGGCGGACTCACCAGCGTGTAGAAGGTGCGCATGTCCGGGCCGCCGACCTCGACGCGCGGCGGGTCGGCGATGGCGGACGGCCTCAGCTCGCAGCCGTTGGCCACGTCCCTGGACGCGTAGCCCACCCGCAGCGCCACCCGCCGCACGAACGGGTCCACCACGTCGCCGATCACGCGCCCCACCACCAGCGGGTCCCCGCGCTGCATGCCGCTCCCCACCATCTTCTTCTTCTTCTCCTCCTTCTTGTCACCACCGATCCTTCTCCGCCGCCGGCGAGCAGGAGTGGCGGTGTGTGTGTGAAGGCGGCCAGCTCTCTCAGCTCGCCCGTGCTAGCAGCTCTAGCTGCGTGTGTGTGGTTTCGGTGAGGCCGTCGTCGTTGCTATTGCACCACGACGGCCTGACGTACTTATAGGCGAGGAGAGGAGAGAGAGATCTCTGGACTAGCTCGCTCGCTCGCTCGCTCCTCCAGCGCGACGGCCCTGGCTAGGCTAGCTACCTGCTGGAGCACGAGCAGCTGCCGAGGCGTACCGCGTGCGTCAGGCACTCAGGCTTTCCTAGTCCTAGATGGTTGCTGTCGATCGACGGCCTGGGTGGGGAGAATCTATCGATCGGCCGGCCACCAAGTCCATTGCTCTGTCCGGAGTCCGGACTCCTGTGGCGATGGGGAAGAGTCGTGTTTGGGAAAGGGGGGAGTGGGTGGGTCAAATGGCCTATTGCCCGTCTAGGAAAGGAGAGGCGCCCGTGCTGCTGCTGCTGGCGGTACGTGCGGTGCGGCGCATGAGAGAGGCGGAGAGCGAATATACAACAGCCCCATGTTTTCTATGCGTCCCCTCGAAACTTAATTCATTAGCCAGCCCACGGTTAGGCTCTTAACCGCTACCTGTTTTACTGGGAAACTAATGGGCTTGTGTCCGGGGTGGACCAAGAGGAAAATTTAGGTGGGAGGAAAGGATTTGTGTGGAGTCGCTTCTTTGTAAATTCAGGTGATATAAGCCTCCGATCCATATTAGTTGTCGCTGAAACAGATATATCTGGACATATTTCAGTGATATCTATTTGAGCGACAACAAATATGGATTAGAGAGTGCATTTTTTTACAACACAAACAATCAATCTTTTATCGCAATTTAAATTTTGAGTGGGGTAAAACCCCAC